AGATAAAATGAGGTTATTTCTCAGATAGTTTCACAAATAAACTCACAAAATAAAGAACGCTTTTTTAAATTTTTAATTTGCAATATGTTAGATGCTTTATTGAAGAATTTGCAATAATATCGTTCTGATTTTCATTTTATCCAAGATTGCCATTATTTTTCACTGATGAGCAACTTGCTAATTATTAGTCCAATGTAGAGTCCTCCTTCTGTTTTCTTTCTCATAAAATCGCCTTTGTAAATTTAGAGTTTAATTTAGCAAAACGTTTTCCACCTAAGTGGTAAAATGTCTTCGTAAAGGATTCCCTAAAGAAATCTGCCTTGTATTTATGTTGCATTTAGGGATATTTTCAAAAACACACGCGCTGCTGATTGTTATTTTTAATAGGTGAACAAAAGAAATATTTTTTTAAGAAAGAATATAACTTAACTGCAAGCTATATCTTATTCCTAGATAGCGAAGCTTGATTACAAACTCAATTTTTAAAATACATTTAATTATCTTTATGCTTTAAAAAATGCCTTGTCTGGTAATTGTAAATGCATAAATCACTTGTTTTTTAAAACTAAGTGATACACTCTAAGTTGAATAATTACAAATAGCATAATGTGAATGATTAATGAAGCTAGAACGGCCAGTTTATTCTTATGTAATTAATAAAAATTTCATTGTTTCAGCATCCTAGTATCTTCTTCCATACTAAAGCTCACATTTAAGCTTTAGAAAATAATCATATTTCTTTCAATTACCATCTCTCAGTCGAAACTGTTGAATAAGAGTTTTCGTGCATAACAAAGGTGTTTTACTGGGTATTCGGATAGAAAAAAAAATTCTCGAAAAATCTGAGTTGTTAATATATTTTTGGATAACATCCTGAGAGGAATTCATTAATAATAGTAATATGTAAAGCCATGAAACAGGTAACCTCAAAACGTCCTTGGAAGGATCAAAATCATGATCGATTCAGTTATTTAAATAACGCAAAGCTGCGAGGGCTACCTGCCTATGAGGAAGGATGCCTTCGTGGAGGACATTCTGAGGGAAACTAGCATATTATACAGGGGAAAACCACAAGAACCAACCATGCAGCCGGTCAGTTCGCTTGTGATCGAACCCAAACCAGGTCGAACTGCCAGTATTCAAAGGTGTATCTTAACCACCGATGAGGCTTGGATCACAATCATGAATCTTCAAACTTATTCATCTAGACGTGCTGTCAATTTACCTTACAAGGGGGGAAAAAATCTTTCCTTATATTCTCCTCCCTTAAGGACCAGGATTCGAACCACAGATCTTCCAATTTTACTAGCTGGATCTGCTACTACTTGCACTACCACAGGACGCAAGGTAAACCAGTAAGTCTTTATAAATGTACTAGCACAACAGCATTATATGAATTGTTGGGCATTTTAACTTAGAAAATTAGATAGAATAGTATTTGAAAATGAATATTATGTTCAATTATTTTTAAGTTTGTTTGTAAACTGAACGTTGCCTTTCCAATTCAAAAAAATTTCGAATCATATCTAGATGCTAGATATATCATTAAAACATTTACTTGATTTGGCCACCCACTTAACTTACACGTTGACCATTTAAATAGAGCACTACCAATTGGCACATTGAAAATGATCATATCTCTCAGTGAGATGGATATGATTCGCATCTCTTTTCTGTTTCGCATCTCTTTCTCGGAAACAAATCTACCTCTGTAGTAGATTAATGTATAGGTAGCAGACATTCTGTCACTGTCAGCCGAGCGGTAAAGTCGCTGAATAGTCGCAGAATACCGAGTTCTGACTTAAGTTCGATTCTAGGAGAACGGGCTGGCTGCATGGGCGTTTTCATAGTTTTTCCGCATATATAACATATATACGAGCAGTTTCTTTAAAAAAGTCCTGGGGCCCACCAGCGGCCGAGCGGTAAAGTCGCTGAACACTGGTAGTTCGGTCCGAGGTTCGAATCCCGCGAACGGGCTGGCTGCATGGGGTTTTCGTGGTTTTCACCATGTGTAACGTGTATACGAGCCAGTTTTCCCTTAGAAAGTCCTCCACGAAGCCATCCCTCCCCTTAGGCAGATAGCCCTCGAGGCTTTGCCGTAATAAATAACCTAATTTTCAAAAGTATTCCAAAAAGTTAACTTGAATTAATGTAGAATTACTGAGAGAATAGATTTTAGTAGCGCAGTTTAACGTGAGATGAGATCACTTGGGGCACGTGATACGAACCGGCGAATCAGGATTTTGAACCATGAATCATAGTAATTCTTAAATTAATATCTTTTTACAAAATTTATTGTCTTTATTTATTGGATTTTTACAAAATTTTAAACCATATCAAATTTATGCCTCAAATAAAAAAAAAAAAAATTCTTAGAATTAACATTTTTTATGTGTATACTGTATGTTGTCGCCAACAAAGTCTGCTTGGCGAGATTTGCGCCAGCGAAATGGAAAAGTACCAGAATTTCTTTTTGTGGTTTCTATTAACATCTCGATAATGCACGTACTATATAAATACTTGCATTGTAACTCTTATATAGTTAATTAAAAAGAAATTGCATTGTAACTTGAAAATACATTTATTTTCTCAAGAAGCTCCTTTGACCAAGCTATTTATTTGTTTTCTACCCCCAAAATGATTTTACTCTATAAAAGCCGAACTGCCTGATCTCATTCATCAATTTTTCAATACACCTCTTATTTTATTACGATTACTAAGGGTCTTTGGTAAAATGTTTGGTTGATCTTTAGATTATGGTAATTTTGCGATTTTTTGGCGAGAAAATTTGGGCGACCAACTCTACCTACAGCAACACCCTCTATTTTTTTTTCCCGCCGCCATTTTGTCCTCACGAAAGTAAGACATGTTTCTTTTATTTTATCTACGGAACACTTCTTCCAACAATCTACTAGCCGAATTACACTTATGCTAGAAATTTTATCTAACAAAACTGCTTAATCATGACAAATATTCACTGCAAAATTCGGAAAAAGTGCACAATACCATACTCCTTACGCGTTTTTCAAAATAACACATACACATAAACCATGTACACGTACGTCGACTTCTTTTTACTTAAAAAAACATCCCAGAATTACACAAAAATGGCATTGCGCACACTCTTTACTATATCCATGTACACTGCTTTTTTCTCATAAATTAGAAAAATTTCACGAAAATACAATCCTAATTACTTTAAACTAAATCATTGCTAATAACAATTTTCCCAATAATACCAAATTACTTTACTTCCACCTTAAAGTTAGAACAATGCATAAAAATAATATCCTCAAATAATTAAAAATACTAACTTACCTAATCTTCTTCAGAATCTTGCTTACATGGTGGATACACTTTTATTATGGATTCAATAAAATTATTTTTTCTGCGAATTTTTCCTCCACACTTCCTCCGCTATATAAAACACAAAATTCTGTTTATCACATATAGAATTCACTTTAGACAGCGCCATACAATCCCAAAATTATTCAACCCTACTTCACACAACACACAATGAAGCTTAATACAAAATAATATACAGCCACAGATATTTTTCCAAATTCCCCCCTTTTCTGATTAAAGAACCATAATTTGTCCATTAATATCACATGACATATACCATGATCTCTCATTTCCCTCACAAAAAATAATGCGTAATCGGAACCGATTACTGCCCACATTATTAACAAAGTCCCAGGTAGTAACCTTTATCGCCTCCAAAATGTCGCCAAACTACCAGTTACCATATTCTAAAGATCAGCCAAATGTTTAACTACTGATTAGAACTCTAAGTTGATGCCAGAAGAAAAGATACGATCCTAGATCCTCATTCATCAGCCACTTCATCTATTCTGCTGTTGTGTTACCTGCTGCTGCTATTTCGTGCTGTTTTGAAAAGAAGCATATATGGCTAGTGAATCTGAAGAAGAAAGTTTATTATCTAGCTCAGAAAGCGAGTTTTTATCTTCATTTGAAACTGAAAGTGATTCAGATGAAGAACAATTAAGCAAAGTGCGGGATTGGTGGTCCCGACGAGTCCGGATTAAAGACTTTTAACTGTATTTATTATTCATTAGTTCTGAAAGATAGCTGATACTGAATAATCCTTTTTTTTTTACATTGAGATATGTGCTACTTAAATGTCGTATGTAAAATAAAACGTATCATAATGCCATTCTTTTAGATAGAAATATATATTAACACCATATCCAGATGTGAAAAAGGAAATGATGGTTACAAATGTATCATGGTATTGTTAGTTTAGCTACGTTAACATAAATACTTATGTACCTGATAGCATTCTTTGGGGAACAGGGATACTAATATAAATCTACATGGTGAAAATTTATTTGAAATCTAATGTTAAATCCAAGGATAGGTAATTTAATACGATATAAATTTATAAGAAATGTAACGCTAAATCCAAGGATATAAAAATTTGGTTTAATCCTAGTATCTGGTGCACAAGGGATTTGGCTACTTTTGGCGAATTTATGATAAGTAGTAAATGGGGCATACACGATGAGTAGTTAAACGGGTCATTTTGGTGTTGGTGATAATTTTCAAAATCGTGCAAGGCTGCACCTTATACTAGGATTTTACCAAAAATTTCACTAGTCAGCCCATGATTACCCAGAAAATCATCAGAACACACTGCAAAAAATTATCCAATATTAATGTAATACTAGTACGTACACTCACACGTAAAACATGAACCCTACTAATCAACCTATATTAATATACAACATATTACAATCAACCAAACAAAATTTCATACTCTTCTGTTATCGGGACCGGATTCAGGAATGAATGCATGTGCTCATGTATGCACTTACGTATATGTGAGTGGGTATATTAAAAAATGTATATATGTGCGTATACACACATTCATGGTTCCGGTCCCAATAACAGAAGAGTACCCAAAATTTTACAGGTCATTTTCATAAATCCTTAATAATTCTTAAAAACTAAATATGAACATTTTATTGATAGCTTACCAACGCAATCATCTTGCTTATTTTCGGCCTGGCATCTCAAACAAGCATCTGAAAAACATTTTGCATTTGATGATACAATAGGTGTTTTTTTTTTTTTTTTTTTGTTGATCTTTACAATATGGTAACTGGTAGTTTGGCGACATTTTGGAGGCGATAAAGGTTACTACCTGGCACTCTCATAATAATGTGAGCAGTACTCAGTTCCGATTACGCATTATTTTGTGTGAGGGAAATGAGAGATCATGGGATATGTCATGTGATATTAATGAACGAATTACGGTTCTTTAATCGGAAAAGGGGGGAAATCGGGAAAAAATCTGGAAATTTTGTACGTGGCTTTATTCTGTGTTGTGTGAAACAGTGTTCATGAATTTTTGGATCCCATGGCCGTAACTAAAGTGAATTCGGAATGGGTATTTATGTATGTATTAATTTAATGTATGTGCTCATTTATATTTTAAGTAGTGTTTTTGAATTTAATTATATTTTAATTAAATGATAGCTATTTTGTGAATTTTATGTTTGTAGGAATTTGGTACGTTTTAGTTGAAGTAAACGTGCATGAAAAATATGCACGAAATTTAAATATCTGACAATAAGTATTTGTAATGGTTCCGGTATGAATTCGTTGGTGACGTGTATAATGTAATAGATGATTTAGAGGTAAAAGTTTTTGGATATTTTATTTTTTTATGTGGAAATGTTCATATTTAGAAAGGGTAAATACTTTTTCGCGATCAGGTAATTTCATATATGTTCTTTTTACCGGGTTTAAAGATTGAGAAAATTGTCATGTATTTTCGTAAAAATTTTTCTAATTAATGAGAAAAAAGCAGTGTACATGGATATAGTGAAGAGTGTGCGCAATGCCATTTTTGTGCAATTCTGGGATGTTTTTTTAAGTAAAAATAAATCGGCGTGTACATGGTTTAGTGATATTTTAATTAAATAATAGTTATTTTGTGAATTTTATGTTTGTAGGAATTTGGTATACGTTTAAGTTGAAGTAAACGTGCATGGAAATAATTTAAATATTTGACACTAAGTATTTGTAAAGTTTGCAGTATGAATTCATTGGTGATGACGTTTATAATGTAAAGATGATTTAGAGGTAAAAGTTTTTGGATATTTTAATTTATTTTATATGTGGAAATGTTCATATTTGGAAAGGGTAAATACTTTTTCGCGATCAGGTAATTTCATATATGTTCTTTTTACCGGGTTTAAAGATTCAGAAATTGTCATGTATTTTCGTAAAATTTTTCTAATTAATGAGAAAAAAGCAGTGTACATGGATATAAATGAAGAGGGTGCGCAATGCCATTTTTGTGCAATTCTGGGATGTTTTTTTAAGTAAAAATAAGTTGGCGTGTACATGGTTATGTGTATGTGTTATTTTGAAAAACGCGTAAGGATATGGTATTGTGTCACTTTTTCCCAATTTTGCAGTGAATATTTGTCATGATTAAGCAGTTAGATAAAATTTCTAGCATAAGTGTAATTTGGCTAGTAGATTGTTGGAAGAAGTGTTCAGTAGATAAAAAGAAAAGAAACATGTCTTTACTTCGTGAAGACAAAATGGCGGCGGGAAAAAAAAATAGAGGGTTGCTGTAGGAGAGTTGGTCGCCAAATTTTCGCCAAAAAATCGCCAAGTTACCATAATGTAAAGATCAACCTTTTTTTTTTTTAAAGAAAAGATACCTATATTATAAATTGCAAAATGAAAGAAAAGAAAATGTTTCCAAATAAATGAAAAGCAATCATGAGTTTACAGGTGGTGAAAAGTGAGGAACAGAGATGGCCGCTCCGCAATTGTGTTGCTTTTCAAATCTGCGATTTAAAGACTAGTTAACTTATTAAATTCATATAAAATATTCTTACCCATAACCTGTACTCGACAAATGGCACAGGTATCGCATTCCACATCCCAACTCCACATTGCTACAGCGTTCCATTTCTTTAATGTAAACATTTTTTCAGGTTTCTGACCGTTAGTATCAAATTCACGGTCTGCAGATTCCTCATCATCTGCCATATTAGCATCTTCGTTGTCTCGATTCATTTTAACCAAACTGTAATTGACAATATGTAACAGAAAAACTTAGACCTACCAGTTTCCTAATACGACAGGCTGAACAAAACGATAAATATCACAGTTTACGTCAACGAGTTTAGTTGTTTCCTGCTTCTTGTAATTTATTTGGTTATTACGTTACTTGTAACTTTGTTTGGTTAAAGAAATGTTTACGTTCATTTAAACTATAAAATAACATAAAAACATTAAATCAAGCAATTAAGTTTATTTATACGTTTAGTTCAAAAATTAATAATACCATATGATCTATTTTAAAACACAATTTACGGTATTGTTTACAGTATTTGGATAGGTTCACAGTGTTTACGGATGACGTCGAGATCCGGTCACATGCTATGAGAATTTCTGTAAATTTCTTGTACAAAAGGAGTTTTTGTACTTTTGGATTCTTTCCTTGCGGCCAATGGAAGTGAAGAATTAACTGACGTTCTTACCTTATGTAAGCAGTTTGTATGTTATATAAGTAATTCATATATGTAGCGATTAATAACTAAGTACTTTCCGTTGAAATGATAATCCGCGCACATAGTTTACGATAAAGCGTCACATCCGGAAGCGGTTTTATTATTTCAATATGCGGTCCGTTGCCTCATTTTTATTTATCTTGTTATTTAAGCACGTTTTAATGTGCATTTTTACTAGCTAAACGCTAAAAAAAAAAAAAAAATCGTGGTGTGGCCGTTTATTTGTTATGTTTAGCATTTGCTGTTGTAGTAGTTACTTAGAATTTCGGCTTTTACAAAAATTTTGAAATATCTTTTTAGTCGTCGATGTTTTAATTGATCTCTTTCACTATTTATGTTGGACCTTTTTCTATATTACCTACATAGAAATTTGTAAATTTTCTAATAAAGAATATAAAGCTTTCAAATTGACTTTTGCAATATTTATGTACAGTTTTTATAATTTTTGAAGTATTAAATCTGATTGCTTAAACCTTATGAAGATTTCATTTATAACGCTTGAACTTATTTGGTATCTTGCTTAGAATAAGTGATAGTTCATGGGTTGGTATTATAGTCATTTATTATGCATCTTTTTCCACAGATTACTGTTTTCTAGAATTTGAACCATTATAGTAGAGTAGAATTTCGTTTCGGTGGGATTGTGCAATTCAAAATGCAGGCTTTCAAGTGACCACATTTTGTTGAAGGACTGCACTGTTCAAAATTTGATGGCTGTAGGTACTGTTGTTTTTTCACAATGCGAGAAACATTCATGCAGATTCTTTATTATTTAGTTCATTTAATATAATACATGGTGATAATATTTGATGTTTCCCTATGTTCTAAATTTTTGAAGGGTCCTCATGCTTTTTCTAAATTCTAAAAAATTTATCATCACTTAATTTTGTTACTAGGTGCTTTTATGAATTCCAAAATTTTGTCTTCCGTAGTTTCTGCCACCTGATGCAGCCGTACAAGCTCTGGCACCAGTTCTGGGTTTATGTGAATAAAAAATCAGCTTTTCTAAATAGCACTAAATGTAATCTTATGTCCTATGAGTATCAAAAACAAAATATACTTTTAGCATATGGAGAGAAATTTTTTTTTTCCTCGTCAACATTTATTGTATAATCATCGCCAAACATAATGTCAACATAAAAGGTTTCCATACTCTCTGCTGTTCAATTACTAATATAAAAAAAAATAGTGGTTGATCTTTACATTATGGTAACTTGGCGATTCTTTGGCGAAAATTTGGCGACCAACTCTCCTACAGCAACCCTCTAATTTTTTTCCGCTGCCATTTTGTCTTCATGAAGTAAAGACATGTTTCTTTTCTTTTTATCTACTGAACACTTCTTCCAACAATCTACTAGCCGAATTACACTTATGCTAGAAATTTTATCTAACAAAACTGCATAATCATGACAAATATTCACTGCAAAATTCGGAAAAAGTGTACAATACCATACTCCTTACGCGTTTTTTAAAATAACACATACACATAAACCATGTACACGTCGACTTATTTTTACTTAAAAAACCATCCCAGAATTACACAAAAATGGCATTGCGCACACTCTTCACCATATCCATGTACACTGCTTTTTTCTCATAAATTAGAAAAATTTCACGAAAATACATGACAATTTTCTGAATCTTTAAACCCGGTAAAAAGAACATATATGAAATTACCTGATCATGAAAAAGTATATACCCTTTCCAAATATGAACATTTCCACATATAAAATAAATAAAATATCCAAAAACCTTCACCTCTAAATCATCTATTATATTATAAACGTCACCAACGAATTCAACCGCAAGCATTACAAATACTTAGTGTCAAAATATTTAAATTATTTCCATGCACGTTTACTTCAACTAAAACGTATACCAAATTCCTACAAACATAAAATTCACAAAATAACTATCATTTAATTAAAAAAATCACTAAACCATGTACACGTCGACTTATTTTTATTAAAAAAAATCCCAGAATGCACAAAAATGGCATTGCGCACACTCTTTCACCATATCCATGTACACTCCTTTTTTCTATAAATTAGAAAAAAAATTCACGAAAATGCATGACAATTTTCTGAATCTTTAAACCCGTACAAAGAACATATATGAAATTACCTAAAACGAAAAAGTATATACCCTTTCCAAATATGAACATTTCCACATATAAAATAAATAAAATATCCAAAAAACTTTTACCTCTCAATTATCTATTATATTATAAACGTCACCAACGAATTCATACCGCAAACTTACAAATACTTAGTGTCAAATATTAAATTATTTCCATGCACGTTTACTTCAACTAAAACGTATACCAATTCCTACAAACATAAAATTCACAAAATAACTATCATTTAATTAAAATATAATTAAATTCAAAAAAACACTACTTAAAATATAAATAAGCACAAACATTAAATTAATAAAAATTAGCTTACATCCTAATTACTTTAAACTAAATCATGCTAATAACAATTTTCCCAATAATACCAAATTACTTTACTTCCACCTTACATTTAGAACAATGCATAAAAATAAATATCCTCAAATAATTAAAATACTAACTTACCTAATCTTGATTATGTGTCGATAAACTTTTCTTATTTCTGTTTCAGGATCTTTAAAAATACTATAGCTCACAGCAAAGGTACCAGGTAAATAAAAACTTAATAAACATCTTTACTTCTATCTCGCACAACCTTAAAGAAATACTTATTACTACTCCTTTCAATTCCTAAATACCATTTCAATTCGTTAGTGAGGCATGGGATCCAAAAATTAACGACACTGTTTCACACAACACAGCATAAAGCCAAATACAAAATTTCCAGATTTTTTTTCCCGATTTCCCACCTTTTCCGATTAAGAGCTGTATTCGTCCATTAATTACATGACATATCCCATGATCTTCATTTCCCTCACACAAAATAATGCGTATCGGAATGAGTACTGCTCAATTATTACCAAAGTCCCAGGTAGTAACCTTTCGCCTCCAAATGTCGCCAAACTACCAGTACCATATTCTAAAGATCAGCCAAAAAATAGTTAGGCATCCTCGCATGGTCATACTCAAGTGTCATGTGTTGATAAAACATGCGGGTGATGAAAGCAAATGTAATAAAAATTGCTAGGGTGGCATCAGGGATATAAATATTAATACAGCAAAAGTCGTTAATTCGGAATGATTATAATCCTGATCAAAATAAAAAATTTCTGCGCATGCGCCGCGTTGACACATGCGCAGATTCACGCGTGCGCGGTAAGACCTTTACGGCGCATATGAGTGTGCGCAAGTGCAGAATACGTTTCGCGTGCGCATTTTATATAATGGACGTATAAGCTAAAATTATCTAATTATCTATTTAGTTAATGTTGATGATTGCGTTGTTCCTTAATTTCGAATTGCATCCGGCTTATTATTTTTTGCAATTTTAAAAGTAAGCTTAAACTTTCGAATATCAAATAGAATTTCCGATATATATTTGTTTAATATGAAAGGATCTAAAGCGAAAGTATGTTTTGAAAAATCGATCTGTTGACGCTCCGCGGCGGGCGCGTAATGAATGGGAAGTTGATTTATCAGCATATCCTTATCTTCAGCGCAGATGTTTTTATTTTATTTGGTTATAATTCTTACCAAATGTAGTATTCATCTCGATATGCTCCGTCTTGATATGATTTAAAACAAATTTCGTCATATATGCTTCCGATAGTGAAGAAAAGTGACAGAGGTTATTGAAAACAAAAAATTTCGATTGACAAATTAGTGGTGTTCTTGACACAGCAATTATAGGACTGAACGGCGGAACTTTGTATCTGAACAAGAAATTATGTCTGTTTAATAGAATTAAAGAGAAAGTATTATCACATGAAACGAAGCAAAATTAAACAACTTACATTGAAAGAAAGTTTAATAAAGTAAACAAATAATATAGCTTTTCTTTTTGCAAAATTGATACCCTTTAGATCATAATTGTTCTTTATTCATAAAATACGGTTTCATATTTTAAATTTTAGAATTCTGCATGCCATCTTACGAGATTTAAACTGATGATCTATAATCCGGAAAAATCGATAATCCGGAATCGCCGAAGTCCCGACGAGTCCGGATTAACGACTTTTGACTGTAGTTGTAAAATCAGCGATGTTTCTATGTAGACTGTTTCAGTTTCAGATGCGTGCCAAGCAGATATGCAGCCATGGAGCCAAATTATTGATCTCACAAATTTATGCTAAAATGATTGTTCTTCAATAGCGAGGTATTTTATTTAGTGCTGAAGTGAAATTAAGAATCGGGATTCTTTAAGTGTTTTATTATGGGGGAAAAAAATCAATTGCGCATGCGTAAAGCATAAAAAAAATTCCTGAAAAATTCTTTTGTTGGTTCTTTAAAAGGTCCGAATTTTAGATCATTCAGGATATTTAACGTCATAATTCAAAGCATAAAAGTAATCACCAAAATATTTACAATACAGATGAGTTGAAGAAAAAATATGGTACTTTTCTGTTTCACCGGTGCAAATCTCGTCAAGCAGACTTTGTTGGCGACAACATACAGTATATACATAAAAAATGTTAACGAATGTTAGT